CTTGCCAAAGGTCTGCCAAGGCAGCTCTTGAGGCAGGGAGCTCATAGGCGATGTATATAATAATATTGAGGGATCGGGGTGTTGGTTGGTGGTGGTGGTGGTGGTGGTGGTGATGGAAAGAATCATACAGAAAGCCAAATATGCTCACCGTAAATGAGAACGACAGATTCCTCGATGGCGTGCTGGTAACTGAACTGGGAATCCAGGAGAGCACGGGTAACAAAGGAGCCGTAGTACGTGGACTGATACCAGCCGACATGGAGATGGTCAATATTGACATGGCGAAGACTACGCATCATTTCCATTTGATATTGAACTGGAGAGGAGAGAGAGAGAGAGGGAAAGAAAGAGAGGGACAATTAAGCATTTTGTAGAATAAGTGTACATCTGAATCTCAGCCATTTCTGAAGGATGCCCTAGTAGTGAAATAAGGCTAGGAGAATCTGCTCTCCTATTTGGAACCGAGGAACCCTCTTGAGGTTTTAAAGGGCAGACACATGAAGCAGAGACCTTCTAGTCATTCTTGAATTCTTTGAAGGCAAAACCTTTCCAGATGTTCAAGTGGCTCTCAGGATGTCTACTTGGCTTAATTCGGTGAGACAATCACAATAGATTCTAGTTTTAAAACTTGTGATTCTAAAAAGGAGGGATTAGGGAAGCAGGCAAAACTTTGCCTGCAGGAGGTCCCAGGTTCTCTGGTATGTTCAGGTAAAGGCAACAGGTAAAGAGAAACAATGTCAACTTGTTTCAGGAAAGTCCATTGCCAGAGTTGATGGGAAGATTATACAACCTTTGAATAAGGCAGTTACTCCCATTGCCTGAAGAACTGGAAGGTTGGGCTGCTCCATTCAACTATTCAAATATGACTTTTCCACCAATACTATTACCGAGCTAAATATTCCCCATTCTGCATCTGTACATCCGTTATTTCTCAGTGAACTTAGTAACTATTTCTTTTAAATACTATACCAATTCTCTAAACTATCAAGGCTGGTTAAGATTGCTTTGAGTGTAATATTAATCTTCTAAGGCATTTGCCTCATCCAATTATGTGTCATCTGCAAATTCAATAAGTATCCCCATCATCTTTTCATTCAAATCTCTTGTAAAAAGTTGAACAGTGCAAGAACCAGAATTGAATTGTTTGCCCCTCAATAATTTGTTTTAGTCTGAATTATTTGTACTGACACTTTGAATATAAATATGATTTTAAATCCAGCTAAGTAACTATTAAGTTCTCATGCTATCCAACCGTGTAACTAGCTTGTTAATCAGAATGCCACAAAGTACTTTTGTCAAATGCTTTGCTCTGTTTTCAGAATGGTTACTGATCAATTGCTACTATTGATTTTTAACAAACATAACATCCTCTCCTCCAGTAACATGGGACTTGACTTGTTCTCCGGGGTTTCACAAAGTTAGTATGTAAGAATAAAGCCACACTATACACACCGTTACTTCAACTTAAAATCACAAAGTCTAATATATGACATGCTCCTAGTGTTCCTAGTATATTGACTATTTTTTTTTCCTTTTGGGTATGTGTATGTTATTAGAATGTTAAATTTGGCTAAATCTTTTCTTTTGGTATGTGTCAAGTACAGCTGATCTTCCTGTGTTGTTCTGCCCCCTCTGAAACAAAACTGAGGTAGATATATCAACAATTTTATGAAAGGATTATAGTTAGCAGAATTTGTCTCTCAAAGATGTTGGGAGTCCCTCAACACTATAATTTCATGTCTCTCTTAACCATTTACAATATAAAATTGTAAGATCTACAGTGAGGTTCTGTAAAACGTAACCCACATTTTCACTGTTTTCATCCTTCCTCATTAGTTTGCAGCTGTTTTAGCCTAGCCCAATCTGTTCTGGTTCCTCCAGAAAAAAAAAAAGATTAATTCTTACTTTTTTCCCCAAGACAACATTTATCACTTGGTCTTTGCAACAGCAGGGCCCCAGATCTGCCACTTTAAATCAGTCTTTCCCAACAACCGTTAATAAAACAACTGATTATTTAGGAAATCACATTTGGATACAGCTACTGATTGTAGTTATAATTCCTTCCAAAGTGAAATTGTGCTTAAATGACCTCTATTATTGCTCATGCTTACTGCCCATTTCAAACTACTATAATGCAGATAACATGTAATTATAGCATGCTTTCTAAAGTGAACAAAAGAAGCTTGCTGTATTGCACAAAAGGCCTATTTAGTTGGGGCTATTGTGTCCTAGATTGGCCAGCAAGATGCATTTGGTAGCTTGCTACTTATTACAAGAGTTGTTCATACCAGTGGTGGGTTTCAAATTTTTTTAGAACCTCTTCTGTAGATATGGCCTGCTTTGTGGGAGTGGCTTGCTGGCCATGTGACTGGGTGGGAGTGGCTTGCTGGCCATGTGACTGGGTGGGCATGGCCAACTTGCAAAATGTGGTGAAACTCACTTAACAATGCTATTGCTTAGCAACCAAAATGTTGTNGAAGGTAACAGCGTTCCGTGCACCTTCAGCATTTAGTCATGCCAGCCACATGACCACAGAAACATCTTCAGCACTGGCTCTTCGGCTTTTAAACGGAGATGAGCACCGCCCCCTAGAGTCAGGAATGACTAGCACATATGTGCGAGGGGAATCTTTACCTTTAAAACTTTATATCTATGTCACTAATCAAATGTACTCCAATGAATACCTGATCTTTTTCTCTAGCTACCACTTGGAATGTGAAGGATATCAACATCTTCTAGAGATGGAGATGTCATAATTTTGATATCTTACTTCAACTTTATCCTTCAACTGGACATTCAAAAAACAAGCTATTAATCTAGTTATGTGAACCATACATTCTGGCGTTCTAAAGTTCTCTTTAATTATTCGATACTTGTGGTTATAAAACACAGGAAGAAATGTAGAATGTGTCCAGCTAATCTTGTCCCTTAGACACAAGTGTGTCTGCTATGCTTGACATCAACCTGAATGCAAAGAAGGCTGGTTTAACTAAATGCATTCTTAGAAGCTTTTCACATCTTCATTGCCCATAGTATCATATATTATTTTTTTCAGAAGGAAACTCCAGAGTCTATTGCAGTTCCAAACGAACAGATAGCCATTGACTATCATTTTACAAGAATGTGACTCTTAACTATGAGTACTGGCCCATAAACCTTGATTTCATCCAGACTGCCAAGGGTCACTAAAAAGGAGAGGAGAGGCCTCTGTGGGACAAACCTGAGGGAGAGAAGGGGAAAGGAGAAGATGAATGGGGCCAACCTGAGGGAGAGAAGGGGATAAGATAGGAGAAGCTTCCGTGGAGAAAGTCTGAGGGAGAGAAGGTGAGAGGAGAGGAGCCCGATCATATAGTTTCATAGTGGAGCATGGGTATCTAGCTAGTGTAAAATAAACACAATCTGGCATCTTGGTAAATCTCATGAAATGTCAGTATTCTTCACCTTCTTTTGGAGGGAGATACATCAATTGCTCATACATCTTGAGGACAGGAAAAGCTTTTTTTTTTTTTTTTTTGGAGCGGTGGTCCAAGATCCTTTTAAACAATGAGAACCTGTCACATTATACAATCTTAAAACATTTTTTCTTATACTAAATATATTCAATGTTTTCTAGGTCCCCTGGATCTCCTCTGTTCTTATTCTTGAGTCATGAAAGTGACCAATCTATATAATAAGGTGCCCTTGGTTGACTAGAGATGATCGGAGGAGGAACAGTGCTTTGGGCTCAAGCAATTTAGGGGGAAAATTCCATCATTGCTCTGGACTAGAGTTCAATTCAATTTTGTTAATGTTCATGTCAAAAGCTGTGTCCTGGCAAATCAAGATGAAACACACTTTAAAAGACATTCAGAGGAAAATCCCACTAGTTCTGATACAACAGATTTACAGAACCGTGGCTCTAAAGCACATTTTAAAAAGGTCAATCAATATTTGCCCCAAATGTAGCCTTAAGATAGTTTTGTTCTGCAGCTAGAACAAATGTGGCAATTCTTGTCATTTAAAAGACACTTTTTTTTTTTTTGCTCTGGTACCCACAGAAACAATTTGCTGAAAATGGAAGGCAATTCCTTCATTTTGAAGACTACATAAGAGATAAGGCTATGGAACAGTAGTTTCAGTATTTTCAAAATCAGAGACTAGATTTACACACCCAGCTAAGCATACTATTGTTCGTTTGGGGTATTATGCTAACTTGGTCATGGTGGTTTTCAAAATAGGGTTTACAATTTAATTCAGAGGTGCACTACCTCAGGTGAAAGCATGCAGCCTTTACAGTTCTCTAAAACATGTTCTAAAATTGTAACCAATAATGTCATATAAACAGGAAACGCTAAGCTAGGGAATAATTGTATTATACATTCAAGTCTCAACCCTCAATGACTTCAAGACACCCTTTCATGCAATTATACTGTCAGGCCTGCAGTCATATTCCTTTTAGGATCTTTGNCCTTTGTATGTCAGAGAGAATGAAAAGTGGAAAGAAATGGGAAGGTGACAGGGAGAAGTGGAGAAGGAAAGAGAACAAGAAGGGGGAAAAGACATCCATAAAATGTATTTTTATATTTCATATCAAACAGGAAATCCCCCCCCCCAAAAAAAAATTGCTTGTGCTTGTATTCAACTGTAGAGCTAAATAAAATGAGCAGGGCCAGCAATAGTGCATGAAACCCAACTACAGCCATTAGAAGTTGAGCAAGAACTACTAGGTAACCTCCCCTGATTTCCCTTCGAGTCAGTTTTTCCATCTTTAAAATCGTTTCATAAATTTGCCTCTGCAGATTTATACCAATAAGTCAAGGATCACACAGCAGGAAAGCCCATGTTCTCCATGTAATAAATGCCCAAAACAGAAAAAGCGGCTTTCTAAACTGGCTTGTATATTTAGGTAATGTAATTTTAAAAAAAATGTTCCTGCCAATTTGAATCTCACTATCAAAATCCCATCATGAACTGATTCACTATCAAACATTTCGACAGGTGGCCTGTCGCAAAAATCTTACTTGGTGCTTTTGCTGTTGCTGCTTGCTGGTATTCCTTAGGTAGGTGTTGTATTTTACAATATCTTGACTCATTTCATCCACTCGGTCCATCAATAGTTGTAGGGTTTTGCTAAGATGGTTGCTGAAACAGACAAGGACATACTCTGATGAAGACATGGAACTAAGTCTGTAAAAAGACAATGGTGTACGCTGATCAAATTGAGCTGAATCTGCCTTATGAACCCACAATCTGTCTCTATTTTCTTCACTTGAGCTGGTACCTATTGTCTATCTCTTGTTGTAATGAGTAGGAGTTGAGAATGAAAGAAAGTTTCATGTCACTAAAATGGTCAATCTCCATTCTAGCTAATACAATACACCAATTATTGGTTTCAGAAACCAGTACAAACACCACTACCTTATTCATGTTATGAAGACCTGTCTCTAATATAACACATCTCAGACTATTGTCCATGTATGTCCAACGGCAATGTTCATACTAGACAATCTTTGTCTCACTGGATCATTGTTTTAGAGACACTTCCTTATGTCTAGTGGTTAAGGCACCAGGCTAGAAACTGGGAGACTGTGAGTTCTAGTTCCACCTTAGGCATGAAAAATGGCTGGGTGACCTTGACCAGTCACTCTCAGCCCACCCCATCTCAGAGAGTGGTTGTTGTGGGGAAAATAGGAGAAGGAAAGAATATTAAGAATATTCACAGCTTTGAATTATTATATAAAAATATCAAAGGCAGGATATAAATAAAAAGAACAATAACAGGTGGGGAAAAAACAGTGGGAGCAGGAAAAGCTTTCTGCCAGCTGCCCCATTGAGTTCCCCTCCATCTCTCCTATTTGAAAATAGTTATTTAGCAGGGGAATGATGAAACTAAATGAACAAAATGTTTCAAAACCCAAAAAACTTAATCCAAGATTCTATTTTGTATCAGCATAACTGTTTTATATTATTTCAGTTTGTGCGTCCACTAGGACTTGGAAGATTGAAAAAAAATAAAACAAGCAGAAAATGATACATTAGATGTTGAAAATTTAAGAACCAGCCTGAAAAAATTTTTTTTTGGATAAACTGAAGAACATGATTATCTGTCCTGCTGAAAACATTATAGAAATTATTATCTTCATGTTGACTTTATTCTAGGTTAAGGTTGCTGAACTGGGAGCTGAAAGGTTTTGGGCAGTGAAAATGAGAAAGATACCCAAAATAACCCTTATCAAGTTCTCATTGTTTTTACATAGAAACAATTTGAAGATAAGAGTCAATTTCCTGTTCAATCACTTGAGAATTTGTAACACTGCCTAAGAATGGATTTCCTAATAATAATTTTAATCTCATGAGGATGCAAACCTTCACTAAAAGGGAAATTCCCATGTACTCAAAACGTCAATTTCTTTGGTAAAGTTTCCCATTTTTAAAAGGCTGTTTATTTGCTTAATAAAACCGATAAGATATCTGGGTGGATTATGGTCAGTTGGAACAGTAATGTATGAAACTGAACTCTGCATGAAATTGGACTCACAATCCGATCAGCCCCAACCACAATGGCCAAGCAGCAAATTGGCAATCCATGGACCCTCTTCAGTTAACATGCTCAACAATTACCATATTTTTCAGAGTATAAGGTTTTGAAGAGGCAAATTAAAAAAAAATTTTTTTTTCACTCTGCAGACCTCGTGAAACCGGGCCTGGGTTCCCCCCCCCCAAAAAAAGGGCATGAATAGCCTTTAGGAGGCTTGTAGAGTGCTCCTCGGGGGTGCCCCCCCCAAATGAGCAAAAAACGGCCCGTTTTTCATTCTTTTCTGCCCTCCTCAGTCCCCAGGAACACTCTGCAAGGCTCCTAAAGGCTATGCAGGGCCATTTTGGTGAAAGGAGGGGTGTGTGTGTTCAGGAGCCAAAAAAATCTGTATTCAGTGTATAAGATGCACCCAGATTTTCAGCCTCTTTTTTTGAGGGAAAAAAGGTGTGTCATGCTCTGAAAAATACGGTAGTTTTTTTTTTTTTAAATAAAGTGTCAAAGGGAACATTGTGCAACATTACAGGCCTTTCTGAAGGAAGTCTTCTTAGAACAAAATAGAGTGGGTGCTAATAAAAGGAGAATGTTTGTAGCTCGTGGTTGAAATGAGGAGTCCATGGTGTTTCTTCTCTGAGCTTGGTTAATTTTTTTGCAGACGTTTCATCACCCAAAGTACATAACATCATCAGCATTGATGACGTTACCTAGTTTGAGTAAGGAGACGTCTTCAAGAAAACAGCCAAGATCAGAGAGCAATAAGGATACTTGAGTACCACAAGAAGAGAAAGTTTTTCCGGTTAGGGCAGCTATGATTTGGAAAAAAAATTCTTCTGAGACAGACTTTTTCCAGTACCGATTCATTTATATTTGCAATTCAGAATATTAGATTTCACAGACAAATTGGGACTTACTTTTGTGGAATGTTTTTAATATGTCTGTTTCTTATGTTACTTATAATTTCAATTGATTGTGCTATTTTTAAAATATAAGCAACTGAAGAGAACACGTGTTATTGGACAAATTCAAAATACCAATAAACAGGAGATATATATTGGAATGGTGTCCCAAATCATCCAGATGTTAAGTTAGATTACGAACTGATCTGACATTGTAATTTATGCACGATTAAATCTAGAAATAATCTATGATTATGATTATTGACTGATAATTTGAAGAAGTATTAGCTAAAAATTTACAAGCAGAGCCATTACTGTTCTAGAATGGAACTTAAGGCAAGCAACATGTTTATAATATTGGGGTCTCTTGTGAGTGTTAATTATATAATATTCCTTCTGTAAAACAGTCTTCCTCACACTAGTGTCAACTATATCTATTAGATTTTCTCATAATCTACAGTTAGCACAGCCAATGGCAGGCTGTTTGAGTGAATATCTAATTGGAAGTCCATCATATTTGGACACATAAAGTTGTAGAAAGTTGCCAAAGGATATTCTTCAAATCTTCTTTTAGGAATATCAAAAAAGGCAAGAAAAGTATTCCCAGTGAAAAGATCTCTTACACAGAAACTGATTTGAAAGCCTGAGATCTTAAAAAAAAAAAAAAAGGCATTTTAACCATTCTGCTACAGAAGTGGTAGGACAAACATTGAAGCAATCTGGGTCAATCCGAAGAAAAATAAATATGTTGAAAAGAATAGGCACAATTAATAAAAATGGAAAATAGAGAAACCGCAGGCTAAGATGTAGGTTGAATCATTTTGTGCATAATTCTTTCAGATACAAAGGCCGTCTTGAACTTGAAAATCCTAAGTGATGCCCTACCCGTATCTTTTAAATCAGACTGAAGTCAAACTGGCGTCTGCCAATATGCTATCCTCTGGAAGAGTTAGATGACAATTCCCTCTGTGATTTAGTGTGAAACTGATGGAAAACATAGTCCAAATGCTTCTCTTTTTGCAATAACCTGGTGAAATTCTCCAAGCATCTAGCCCTGTGATGGAGAACGTATGGCATGCATGCCAGAGGTGATATGCAGCACCCTATCTGTGTGAATGCGAGCCGTTGCCCCAGCTCAGCTGTGCATGCATGCGTGTGCGTCCTGCCAGCCAAGTGGTCTTCAGGTCTCTGCTCCGCATGCATGTGGGGCGCATGAGGGGGGCACATATGCATGTAGGTGATGTGCACATTTGTGGGGGCAGGGCACATGTGTGGGGCCACAAAGGGGCATGGCGCATGCAGGGCACACGTGCATGCTGGGAGAAAGGCACATATAGGGGGTCACATAGGTGGGGAGGGCAGGGCGCATGCGGATGCCTGCACATACACGCATGGGGCTTGCAAGGGATTGCGCACATGCACAGGGTGCACATATGGGGGCCGCTCGCACATGCACGGGGGCGTTGGGAAAAGGTTAGCCATCACTGATCTAGCTAAATTTTCCATCAATTTCTTATTAATTGAAAATGATGACATTTCTAAATTGATTGTCTTCTCATTTCTGGCAATGATTTCAACTGAAGTCTAGAAGCACAGGCTGCATTTTGATTTCAAATCAGCACGTACTTGCTTGCGAGACTGAGCAACTCATGTCTGTTTACAACGGCTGACTTCTTTTCCAGCTCCCAAAGAAGAACATTGATCAGGTAGGAGTTCTTGATGTTAATGGGGACTTCCTCAAACATGTTTTCAAAGGCAATTCCTGCTTTTTTCAACCTGAAATGAAAAGCACACATATATTTCTTACAGCTACATCAGAAACAAGCAAATTTCTCAGCTTCTCATTGCAGAGACTACATTGCTCCATTCTTCCAATTGTGGAGGATAAATTTTTGGAAGGCATGGGAGACAAAGAGCCTGGAGGGAAATCTGATTTATTCCACAAACTTGTAATATTTTTATGGGAAAACAGACCAAAATAAACAGACTTGGGTTACCAATTTGAAAATCAAGACGCAATTATCATATCAAGATCTAGAGAACTTTGGGGTTCCTTTTAAGCTTAGATTCTCTTACAAAAAAATAATATTGGAGGACAAGCAACATGTCTGTCACTAAGTCATCCTAACAATATACAGAAACATTGGTGTCCTTGGCATGCTGGAGGTGACAGTCACTGTCAATATGGTCAACGGTAAATTAGAGGTATTTTGGGATAGTAGTTAAGACCTTAGGCTAGAAACTGGGGGACTGTGAATTTTAGTTCGGCCTTAGGCCAGTCCTTGAGCAAGTCCCTCTCTCTCAGCCCCAAGAAGGAGGCAATGGGAAACCACTTCCAAAAAACTTTGCAAATAAAACTGCAGGAACCAGTCGAGGCAGGAGTGATTGAGTGAGTGAGTGTGTCTGTCATCTATCTATCTATCTATCTATCTATCTATCTATCTATCTATCTATCTATCTATCTATCTATCTATCT